CTCCTCCAGCAAGGTGGCCACTGTCGTCGCCTCCTTGCTGTTCCTTGCCCCAGCAGTGCTGTGTACTGCATGTGTGCTCTGTGAGCTTGCTAGTGAGGAATGCTTCAGCAGCTGGGATGTGGTATTGACCCCAGGCAGCCCTGTGGTCTCAAAGCCTACCATGCCATAACCTCCATAGCCAAGCTCTTGCTCTGCTGAAGTACTTGGGGCCCATCTTGCGTGATACTTTGGCATAAGGCTCATCTCTTGAGAGTCTAGGAGGCTGTTAGCTTTTTTTGTTCAATCTTACTACTGTTGCTGCTTATCAGTTTGTTTGTGCACTGCTTTCACAGGTTTTTCATTGCCACTTTAACAGCAACTTCTTCCCCCTGTTCCTGGAGCACCTGCTGTCAGACCAGATCTCTGTATCTACTGGATCCTTCCTCCTTGGTGAGTCTCAGAAGGGACTGGAGGGAACAGCTGAGTTAGGGTCTGGCCTGAGTCTGGATTGTCTCTTTGTAAAATTCAGCTGGGGAGAAGCGTGCTCACAAACAGGTATTTGGGCTGTAAGATTCACACATGCATGCACCTCATAAGCTTCCTTGGCACTTTTGAGTCTTCTTTCCTGGGCACAATAAAACTAATGTGGAGTCTTTTTCTAGTGGTGGAGAACGTGAAGTGCTGGATCCTGCCTGGACTCTGCAACTCCACATAGATTTTGTTCTCAGTACGACATGTCTGCCAGATACAGCTCAAAGATGAGCAGGGAGCACAGCTCCTAATTTAGTGCCTCTCTGTGGCATATGGAGTGCATCCAGGCTGCCTCAGGTCTGTGGCAGACATCCTGTAGGGCTATTGTCACCCTGGGAAGTTTTTGTGTGGGCCAGTTCTGGTCACACTGTCCAAGTCTCACTGTTGCTCCAAGACAGAATCCCAGCCCGTGTATGACACTGGGCAAAAACTCTTGCTTGAGTTTGGTGAAGAAAGCCTCCCTCTGTAGGAAGTGTATGTGCTGTGCCACAAAAACAATTGAATGCATCTGCTACCAGCACCCCTGTGTGTGTGTGTGTGTAGGGGGGGTTGGTGATGGTGGTTAGGTATTCTGCATCACCTGTCCTCCCATGTTGGCAAGCTTTGTCCTCTCTTGGTATGGGTCCTGGGGGGATAGTGGATACTAAAATTCTCTCAAGGTTCTGTGCTGCTGTCTCTATTCAGGTGTTTCCTACATTGCCCCCCATCTCAACAACCTCTACTTCCTGTCCCTCTGCCGCCGCTGGGGTGTTTATGCTGTAGTCCGAGGACTTTTCTTCCTGAAGCTGGCTCTCAGTGTTGTCATGCTCCTGGCAGGACCTGATCAGGTGTATCTGCTCTGCATCTTCATAGCAAGGTATGCACACAGCACTTGCTTCCCTTGCTCTCTGGCAGCTGGGAAGGGAAGTGATTTGTCCCCATTTCCCAGAGGGAAGAGTAACCAGGGTCACCGTGGCTTCCAGCTCTGGTGTCTCCCTCTAGCAGCTCCCAGCTCAGGATTAGTCAGTGCTGAATCTGCTGGCTGTGCAGGCAGCAGTGAGGGAGGCAGCAATGTTCGGGCTCTGCCGTGTGAGAGGACAAAGACTTGGCAGGGCTGGTGGCTGCCTGGTAGCAGCCCATGCCAGCTGCTGAGCTGAGCTCCTGTTTTTTTTTCTGCAGCCTGCATGGAGTGATTGCCCTCAGGATGTGCTGCAGCTGCCTCTTAGTCCCAGCCCAGTGTCTCATCCCCAGGCCTCTCTGTATGGCAGGTCCAAGGCATCACTAGAAGGCACACAAGGCTGTTATTGCTAGAAGCATTCCTCTCCAGTAACCAGGATTTCTGAAAGTGTTATTTTAAGTGTTAGGGAACCTTTCTAATCTCTCTCTCCACTTTCTCTGATCTCCTACTTACTCCTCTAACTTCTTGGTGCCTCTATTCAGTGCTTTGCCTGTTGTCCTGCAGCAACCGGGTGTTCACAGAAGGGACCTGTAAGTTACTCAACCTGGTGGTGACTGACTTGGTGGATGAGGATCTTGTACTGAACCGCAGAAAGCAGGCAGCTTCAGCGCTGCTTTTTGGGATGGTTGCTCTGGTCACCAAGCCAGGACAGACCTTCGCCCCCCTGATAGGCACCTGGCTGCTCTCTGTGTACACAGGTAAGTGCCCTTGAGAAAGCATTGCGGTAGGAGAGGGCAGACTTGTGAGCTCAACGCCCTCCGCGGTGTTTTGGGTGGATGCAGAGCTCTCTCACTTACGAGGCTGGGACTGGTCTCTGCATCTCCAAGCCCAGTCACTGGGAGAGAGGAGCATTCCCAGTGTCCCATCTCAACAGACTGTTCTTCTACACCAGGCCATGACATCTTCCAGCGTAACCCCTTGAGCAACGTGGTGAGCGCCCAGCCGAAGCTGGAATCCCATACAGTCTTGGAGCCAACTCTCCGCCAGGGCTGCTTTTATCTCCTCGTCTTTGTTCCCATCACATGTGCACTGCTGCAGCTCTTCAGTTGGTCTCAGTTCAGCTTGCATGGGAAGCGTCTGCAGATGGTAAAGGCTCAGCGCCAAGGCCGAGCACCAGAAATCAAAATGATCTAGGGGTGTTTGTGCTCCTGGCGGTGCTTCTGGTTCCAGGCTGGTGTGGGACTGCTGGCAAAGTGAAGGGATTGCTGGCTGGGAAAGCCCCCATGTTTACAATTTAACTGTGATGTGCTGTGATGCTGATGTTCACTCATCCCAGGAGGTGGCCACAGGGAAAGCAGAGGAGTGTTGAGCATGTACTGGGCTTGGGATAGGTCACTTGGCTACAGCAGTGAGAGCATTCCTGCCTTGCTGGTCCTAGAAAGCAGAATTCTAGGGCAGGTCTGCAGCACGTGCTAGAGAGGGTTGCATCCCTGGTGTGATATTCTAACCTGGGCATACCTCTGACCCACAGCCCCTCAGGCAGAGCAGAAAGGGGGGAGCAACTGGAAGCCTTTCCTGTAGAGCCCTGTAGTTTTTGGGAATGGAGGGAGAGGTTCTTCAGGGACCAGGTAACAAAGGAGGATTAACTTCAGAAGAAGAGGTGATATGGGAAGACCCTGAAGGCCTTTCTCAGTAGCGGGAAAGACCTCTCACATTCAATGCCATGGTTCTTTGACCAAATCTGCTCTTAGGCTTGTTTCTGGGACAATATCTTGCACAGAACACAAGGCTCCCTCCTATGAGGCCTTGCACAGGGAGGTGCTGGGCTCAGAACCTGGATGTCTCATGGCATCTTGTTGCTGGTGTTCATCCTTTCCCTCCCTAGCCCCTTGCAGTGAGCACTATTACAGCAGTGCTTCCCATGTTAGCTGGTAGGTTCAGATCAGGGAAGGAGCCTGTAACACAGCGGACAAAACGCTTCCCCTCCCAAGGCTGACACTGCTGCCTGCGTGAAGCAGCTCAGTGCCTTCCCTTCTTGCAGGTGGAGATTAAGCCTGGAGACAGCAGGTCATGCTTTTGTGCCTTCTATTCCATTGAGAAGCCTGTTAGACATAACACAGAGCAGTCACAGGGTTGAGATTTTACCTGTCAGGGAGAGAGACATCTTCTGTGCTTCAAAAAGCCCTGGTGATAAATTTTTCTGGTTGCTGAGTGATGGAGCCAAGGAGAGGGGAAAGTTTGGACTCCTCTGTCTGGGAGCAGATGGGGCAGATGGTTACCCAGAGATCTCAAAATGAGGGAGTGTCTCCTCAGTCTTAGGGTTGCTGTGGGCAGGCAGAAGCGATGTGCTGAAGTAGGATGGGTAAGCACTGCCCCATGCTTCCTGCAGGAGGTGGAGCTTGGCTCACATTACTGCTGTTATCCATTCTGTCACCTCCCAGGCCTTCTGTACCAGGTTCCCTCTGCAGACGCAGCCCACAGTTCTGCTATCTTGCCTCAGGACATGGCTGCCTCCCATCTTGGACCAAGACATTTCTCTTGTGAGACTCCTGTTGGTCTTACTGGTTCAATCATAAGTTATTTGTGTAGATTTTAACAAAGTTTGAGAATGATTATTCATTTCATAAATTAAATACGATTTTTTTTCTGTATTGCTGTGGTCTCATTTGAATTGGCAGCCACCCCATCTGGCCTGGTGTGGGCACAGCTAACCACACAAGGCCCCAGGTGCAGTGTCCCTTGGTGGGGTGGGAGGGAAGTAGGAGCAATGGAGTTATTTCAGGATGCTGCTTGACCCATTTGCAGCTGGTAGACAGTCAGGAATGTGCTATCTAATAGTGGCAGTGTAAGTCTTAAGACAGCAATGCACGGCAGTTTTACTCTGGCCTTTGCCAGTCTGTGGCTGAGAACCAGGTCTAATATGCTCCTGCTCAGTGACTTTCTAGCAGGTGGATCTGACATTTCTGGGTTCATGCAGTGGTAGAGGGGTGCAATCTATAGTGCATGGGAAAAAATGAGATTAATCAAAGGAGTGGAGGGTGAAGTAGTCATCCCTTTCCAGTGAGACTGGGTGCTGGGGCTAAATCAGTTACTGCCTTTGGAGGAAGGTAAGTCACTTGTCCCTGCTGCTCTTGAAGACCCTGGGTGACAAAGGTTGGGGGGAGGTGCAGACCTGCACACTGAACCACATACCCATTCCCTCAGGCCTGTCCTGGGAGCAAAGCTTGCTGAGGAGTTCTCAGCAAGCAGGTAAGTTAGCCACCTCTGTCCATGTCAGCAGCATCACTCCTGTTGACCTGTGCTCACTAAGGGCAGCCCTCCCTACTCTCTTGCAGTTTCTCTACCCTTCAACTGTTCTGTACCTGTCTGCAGTGACAAAGACTTTGAGAATAATGGTCGTTAAGGAGAGCAGCTTTGGACCCTAAGAGGGAGACCAGTTACAGGCCAGGAATGTCCTACCTCAGCACAACAGACTGATCAGGAAGGCAGTTTTGGACCATAGGTGTATTTTCATGGAGGGATTAGGCAGCAAGTTCTGTACAGGCAAGAGAAATACACACTGTTACCTCATTAAAAATGCAAATGGGGGAAGATGAGGCCAGGAGGCTTGAGGTTTGTATATGAATGACTTTATTTAAGTATGCTGGGCACCACCAGGCAACATGGTTTGGACAGTGTGCGAGGGAACAGGCAGGCAGATCAAATGAACGCTAGATTGGAGATGGCACCTTTCTGTCCGGTCACTGCAGTTTACAGAATGGAGCACTGCTGCTTCTGCAAGGCCAGCAGAGGAGCTGGGGAGGGGGAGGAGATCACTGGCACTGCCTGGGGCATGTGATAGGTGAATAGAGAGGATTTTTTTCTCTCTGCATGCTGCAGCTAATCAGCAAGACTGCCACGATCTTCTGTCAGAACAAGGCTGAGCATTGACAGCTCTTCTCTCTCTGACTTGTTCTTACTTAAATACAATCTGTTCTGACAGGAGTAAGAGAGCGAGCAGTGTGGCCTCAGCTGGGAACAGACCACCAAATCTGCCTACCTCCTCCAACTTCTCTGAGCCCAGCAGTGAGCCCTGAGAATGTGCTTCCAGCTGGAGCAGCACGCTACCTGCTTACATTCATGTCTGATGGGGCAGTGCACAGGCTTCTGCCAGGCCTCTGGAGCAGGGCTGCTGCAGCCTTCCAGCTCTTTCCCTGTCTTGGCTCTGGAGAGCAACCCCAGGGTGATGTGTGGAAATGAGGAGAAAGGAGGGGAACTCAGAGGAACTGCCACCAAGCAACTCCAGGCCCACTGCTAACGCCAGGTACTGCAGAAAATCAGTGGTGAAGCAAATGAGCACCAAGTAATGCATAAGAACACTCACAACTAACAGTGCCGCAACCCAACACAAGCTGCTCTGGAGGCATAAGCAGCTCAGTGGGACAGCAGAACACAGCCACTGAACAGCTTGCTGCTCACAACCCTGCTGCTCACATCACTGTACACATACCAATACCATTTATTGTCCTCTCATGTAGTGTATTCAGAGAACAGCAAAACTTCCTAAAAAACAGTTATTGAGTGCTGTAGCAGGGCTGACTAGTTATTATGCTAAGCATGTGTGCTGTAAACAGTGTTAACGTAAAACAATGGACAACTGGATAGCAGGTATTCAAAGAAGAGCCAAAGAACAAGTCCCAGGTGCTATGGTCAGTATTTGAGATATCCTCAGAGATTTCAATAAATAAAACAATTCTTACATTACAATGCACCTTTCCAACTATTATTTTGCCCCCAAATGGATGAAGTACACAAGAGTTATGCCTGGCTGGAAATACACAATTCCGTTGCCCTGACGTGGCAGAGGAGGAGGGAAGCAGCCCCAACTCCTGCAGAGAAAGAACATGAAAGCTGTAAGTCTTGGCAGGTTGAGGGAGGACACTCAAGTGCCTTCACTCCAGAGGAGGAAAGGTATTTAAAAGAAGGAACAAGAGAATAACCGTCTAGCGTAATGAAAGCCGATTAGAGATTGCTTTGTTCTACTCCATGCAATACAAACTAAGTCCTATCACCATCTTCTCCAGCTGTGGCACAGAACCCCACATCAGTCTGAGAAGTTACACACTCACACACACACACTGAAAATAGTGGGGGCAAATGGGCTTAACTGTTCAGAATGTGCTTTCTTTCAATTTAAGAAAAAACAAAAGACATTAAAAACAACTTCAAAAGTCTACTGATGGTGGAGACACTGCTGAGGAAGAAAGTAGCTATGGGGCTTCAGCTATGTATTTCCAGACAATCCAGGCATTGCAGTCAGGCTGACTAAAGCCTACGTGAGCAGTTTGCAGTGGTTAGCTCCCTTCTGACTTGCTAGGCAGATTCTAAGCTGTTCCCTTCTTTTTCCTTGCTTGTTTTACAGTGGCAAATGTGATCGTAACACAGAAACTAAGGAACTGAAATGAAAAAGGAAGGGGCCATTCTGAAGAAAAGCAGACTGGTATTTCATCCTTTCCATTAAAGAAAAAAACCAACAAAAATAAAAAAAATAAGTAGTTAGTACTAATCCAACCCTCCTGCTGCTGTTGTCTTTGCTCAGTGACGTCGGGGCATGCTGGCGCACACACACACATACAGGCAGCTCTCAGACACTCGGACTCAGAAAAGCGAGTTTAGAACTGAAGTGAGTCTTCAGAGACTGAGGATAGGTCCCAGGGCTAGAAGGTTTTTCGGTGGATGGCACGAGCTCCATCTTCTTCATACTCCTTTTTTGAAACCCACATTTTCTTAAAAGTATCCAGCGAGGCCAGAATGGAGCCCCTGGGGAGAGACAGACATGATAGATTAAAGGAGAACATTGGGGACACTGTCACTACATCTCTGCAGGGAAGAGCTGTTCCTGCTGTACAGCTCTTCCACGCTTAAAGGTGCCAAGGCTCCTGGTTGCCTACAGAAGAAATGCTCCCTAGACAGTCACCTCTCCTGTTAGCCTCAAATGTGCTGGTATTACAGAGCCTATCACGAGCCACACTCACAAACACCATGCTGACACTGCTGTAAACCAGCAAGCTCTCCTCACATGGGATCTCACTGGTCTCAATTCCTACGGTTCTGGAGCTGAGTTTAGTTCTCCTGATGAGCAACAAAGATGGACACAAGAGGAGAAACATACCTACTGCCTCTGCCCTATGGAATGTGTTACCAATGAGCTTGTTCTATGTTAATGTTATGAGTTATGTTCCATGTGGACGTTAGGACTGGTTAAGACACAGAAAACAGTCTCGCAGGTGTCTTAAGGGTGAAAAGAGCTATGGGGCTGACAGCATGAATGGAGGCTCAGTAACCAGGCTGGGTAGCATGTGGTTGAGGAGTAATGCCCTCCTGTCACACCATAATAGCAGGAACAACAGTGAAAGTGCCAACAGGCTGCAATTCTCCAGCCCTCCTCCCACAGGAAGACCCACCACCACTTACCCAATCCACGTAGAATACAATCTCTCCTGAGGAGCTGATATCTAGGAGAAGAAGAGAGTCAGTCAGGACCACCTCAAACTACAGTCTGCTCCTCCTGGCATGCCGCCCTGAATTCCCAACAGCTAACACAGGTATGATCTCTCCCACTAAAAACACACCCAGCAGGTCCCCCACAAACTAACCACTGTGGACCAGATCCTGAACAGAAATCATGCTGTCAGAGGAGCTACCTTCTCCACGATGAAAACAAACAACTGTTTATCACAATAAGGCTGTTACTGGTTTGAACCATGTGGCAGCTACACTCTTAGCATGGCTTTTTTTTTTTTTTAAGAGGGCAAAGGTCACATAACAACACACAGTATGTGATAAACACCCAAGAGAATGCTCCTACCCTTATTTTGACATCCTTTGGAGCTAGTTTCTTCACTTCGCTCAAGAGCCTATCTCCAAAACCTGCACAAGACAAAAAAAGCAGCAGTTTGAACCCTTCAGCAAAATCCCGAGTTCCATCTGCTAACAGTGTGAACCCGTACAGCTGAGCAGGGTTTGAATGGGAAAACTAGGACCTATCTGGATTTGTCTGCCTGTGCTTAAGGGCTGATGGGCTCTGGCAGAGGATACCTATGTCCATAGGGACCAGATGTATACTGTTATGACTAGGGCTCAGAAAATTCGGGAGCAGGGGTCAGTCTCCTGCTTCTCACAGTAACTACCCTGAGAACAGAGTTGGACAAGTTGGATGTTATCTCCCCTGTTTCACACGAGATGAGAAAAAGATGTAAGTTACAGCCCACTGAAAAACAAGAGACAGGAACCTTTGAAAAGCGTGGAGCCACCAGACAGCACAATGTTGGAGAAAAGTGTTCGCCTCAGATCCATGTCTGATTTTTGAATGGCAAAAACGAGCACCTCGTGGAGTCCTTCACATTCTTCCCCTATCAGGTCTGGCCGGAACAGGAGCTCCGGGGCACGAAAGCGGGCAGAGCCGATCTGCAAGGAGAGAAGTCAGCACAGAGGGGAGAAGACAGCAGCGTGCTACAGCTCACTGTCTACAGCCTCCAGGTTGTGTCTTTCTGAGATAAAGCTTCAGAGGAACAAAGCTTTTTTGGACATTCATGCTACATCATTAGCTCTCAAATGACCACCATCTCGACCCACAGCTTCCAGCAAAGGTGCCATTTCTATTCTGCAGACGAAAGAGATGAAGAAATTTGCTCAGCTCCATACAGCTGGGCAATGGCTGAGAAGTAAATGGATCCACCTCTGGTACTGGAGGTAAGACTTGTATTTCCTCTCTTTCAACCATTCTACAGAAGGCTCAATCTATTAAAGAATATTCCCAAGTCACTCTTCAAACCAGTAGTTTCTGTTCATCTGGGCAGAAAAAAAGCCACATACAAAACCACAGCATAATTTGCAGATACCAACCCATGCTCCACACCTGATCCACATAAAGATTTACTAGATCAGAATCTGCACTCAAACAGTTCTCAGACTCCATGATCATGCTTTACTCTTACCCAAGAATTCTAGTAGAATTAGTAAGATTTCTAATAATGCTCTCTTTCCCTAAAAGTTCTAGTGCCCCAGCTCAACAACCTGGGATGCATTTTGGTCTTTAAAATTATCCTGTCTCACCCCACATTGCACTAAATCTCCCATCTTTTACAAACCTCAATAGTGCTTCCATCTGGAAGGTAGTACTGAGCCTTCTCTGTCTCCAGAGTCTCATCCTTCTGGGGGTTTATGGACAGATAGCAGGCACGCTGAAGAAGCAGAGCCAGAAAGAATGAGATGAGGAGGGTAAAGCCAAAGACCTCTGATAAATACTTTTCTCACTACAGAGACACCAATTTCAGTACTATTTTGTGTTGACGAAAAGACCTTTTGGGTTCACATCAGGAAAAATACCTTATCTGCTCTTCAAACTACGGTTTGAAGGTCACTACTTACAGTTTGAAGTCACTACTTTTCTAGCTTTTGTTTTTGTCTCTCACTGCTGAAGAAGTAATCTCCCTCTGCACTGGTGGGATAATGACCTTGTGAGCACTTTCAACCTTTCATAGTACAAAGCAAAGCAGGCATCTAAAACACCTTTAATGGCATTAACTACCTACAGAGGTGGGTTTAGGCAATTTAGCAAGAGATTAGGAGCTTGAACAAAGTCTCTTGTTATGTTTCAGAGGAAACAATAACTAATAGCTAGCAGCAAAAATTTCCTAGCATAGCCTAAACAGCTCAATTCCTATTGTTCACCACATTCTAAGTTACAGGAAAAAGAAAACAAACCCTTTTACTTTTCAAACTGCTCCAGCAGCCCATAATTTTTCTTACATAGGTAAGCTTTTCTATTCGAAATTGTTACATTTTGGGGATTTAAAGTGCATCTAACAGAATCATAGAACAGCTGAGATTGGAAAAGATCTCCCTACTGGAGCAGGATCAGCTAGAACAGGTTATCCAAAACCACATCCAATCACACTAGGAGCAATTCCACCGGCAGGCAATCTGCATCCTCTATTCTGGACAACCTGTTCCACTGTTTGGTCTCCTTCAAAGAATCTGGGCAACAGGCAGAAGAGCTCTCACTCCCCTGCACAGCCACAGTGAGCTGCAGCCGTGCAGAACAAGCAAGCTATTTCCATCACATTTTTTTTTTCCATTAGGTCACAGGCTCAAGAACAGCTCATTGATGTTCTCCAGCCTTGGCTGCTGGCACAGCCCAGAGTTCTCTGCAGCAGTTAAAGCTTGTGATGGAGGCCATCAGCATGGCAGTAACTGACAGGCATCAGCAGTACTGATCTGAGCGTTGAAGGCACAAATGCTAGCCCTAAGCTACACAAAGCCTTGCTGAAATCAGAGCGCAACCTGTCTGTATGAGAACTGTGATGCCACAAAGCCACGGTGGGCAGTCACCAGCTGAGCTACTGTTCACTGTCTCACCTCTGCCCTCTTCTCTTGGAACACAAGAGAAGCCAAGGTAACTGCTGCGTAACTACAAGGCCACTAAACACTGCATTAAAAAGAAAGTCTTTATAAATATGAATACCGTGAGTGAATTATTTCCACAGAGAGAGAAGAACAGCAGCAACCCACTTGCGATCCCAAACTACCAAGGATTTTCTAAAGTCTTCGCTTGAAGAGTAGGCAAATACTAGTGAAGGATATCAGAGCTGATAAAATTGCTGCTCAGTCACCCTTACATTAAAAAAAAAAAAAGCTTTCCTTTACATTCAGATGGAGCCTCCTGTGCATCAGTCTGTGCCTCCCATCCTGTCACCAGACATCACTGAAATGAGTCTGGCTCTGTTTTCTTTGCTCTCTCCCTTCAGATATTAATATACAATGATGAAATCCTCCCTGAACTTCTATTCTCCAGGCTCAAAAGCCCCAGCCCCCTCAATCCCTCCTCATATGAGGGATTTTCCAGTCCCTTAGTCATCTTACATCTAGCCTCCCTTTGGTAGATAAAGGAGCGAGTTTCAGAGCTAGGTAGGCTGGCACTTCCCACTACATTTTAGGGAGCGATGACTTCCAATAAACAGAAATCTTTGTGGATAAGCACAGAAACAGACACTATGTCACCTCCTTGATGGTCTTTACAATCTCGAACTCTGAGGTTGTGTGGAAGTCGTAGCCTTCCTTCCGGAGATAGAGACGCAGGAAGCGCGAGACATCGCGGCCTGCAATGTCAATCCTCATGATGGAATGAGGCATGGCAAAGCCTTCATAGATGGGCACCGCGTGGGTAACGCCATCCCCAGAGTCCAGCACCACTCCTGTGGTCCTCCCAGTAGCATACCTAGCAAAGGGACACGAGACAGATGTTAACGTGGGCTTTCTCAGTTCGTTTCTTTCTGTTTGTTTGTGGGGGGGAAAAAGAAAAGATTCCAAGAAACATTTTGCAAGTGCACATCGAAGATGAGAGGTACTTACAGACTGAGCACAGCCTGCATGGAGATGAATAGTGCTGGAACGTTGAAGGTCTCAAAGAACACTTCAGCAGCACGTTCTCTGTTTTTGCGTGGGTTTAGTGGTGCTTCCGTCAACAGCACAGGATGCTGGTAAGGAAAAAGAACCAAGCTGTAATAACCAGGATGCAGCTAGATGTATGCTGTCAAGAATGGCTACTAATTTTTCTTCTTTAGGAACCATTAGTACAACAGGACACGCAGTAGGGACTGATTGCAGCTGGTGAGCTGTATTACAGCACGCATAATCTCTACCAGGTTGGAGAAGCAATAGGGCTCTGGTCTAGCCATAAAGAAATCTTAGGGAGTCCACTCTGTGAGTGAGCCTTTGCCAGGAAGGATGATCAAGATCACTCCAAAAGGAAGACAATTTGCAACAAAAACAGCAGCCTTAGAAAGGGTGAAAGCATACAGTCCATATTTTATACAGGCAGAAATATTCCTACACCAATGACACAACCTATTGCTTTCAGTTTTTTACTAACTTTTTGGCCAGCTTCTTCCAGAATGCATGACTGTCTTTCTTCCTCTTTAGATCAGATTATGTCACTGCTGAGCGGATGTGCCCGATGTACAGACATAACAAGAACAGTCAGCTGCACTTGGTGTAGAGCACAATCATTAGGGAGAGGGAGTGAATAACAATTGATTTTCGGCAAGTCAGATTTTGAGTCAGGCCAAATATACAGGAGACGTGAGGAGAAATTCTGCTTGGACATTTCTTGTGTAGTATCTCATAAGAGGTGAAAAGAACATAACTGAACAACAGGTGAGTTTAGAAAGAAAAACAAAGGAAGAGCCCTAGATTGCCTGTTGGAGTTCAAAGGCTCCTGGTGTTATGCACACAAAGGAAACACACCGGTGCCTCTACACAGTGAGATATCTCACCTCCTCTGAGAATGTCTGAAGCTGATCTTTTGAATACACGTACTGCCAAATGCGCTCCATGTCGTTCCAGTCCTTCACTATGCCGTGTTCCATTGGGTATCGGATTGAGAGGAGACCTCTGTGCTCCTGAGCAAATGGAAACAATACAGCATGCCTGTCACAAACTAACAACTCCATTTCTAAGCATTTCGACAACAAATTAATCTGACAGACTCAATTACTGTCAGTCCCACTAAAAAGCAACACGTCTCTAACATACACTACAAAGACTGAACAATAACCACAAGCACTTTTCCAGAGAAGTATGCATGAGATTTCAGTAGGCCTTTTTATAGAAAGGAGGAACACGTTTGCAGAGCACTTTCCTTTCCTAACATGTTTTGAGCCACACAGACACCTATCAAACATTATCTTTGTTCTACCAGCTCTGCCATGATGTAAAACATAGCAGGGTGATAGCAGGAAATGTAGTTCTGTGGGCTCACTGCAATTATGAGACCATGCTGACAAAATGAAGCACTGCGGGTAGCAACCTTCTTGTCCACACCAGGGAGATAAAAAGGCAACCAACTAGGGTCCATTTCTAAAGTTCCCAGTCAAGAAAGTGGAGACGTAACCATACAGACTTCAAAGTAGCCTACAAAAAAAGGATAAGTACAAAAAGACTTGGGTAAGTGGATTGAAACTAAGAGAAGAGGTCTGTGATCAGCAGGCTAACACAGGAATTTTGTGAAGCTTCCCACTTCAGCTTGGACACCCTTAAAAGAAGTGACAGTCTATTCTGCTCTTCTGACCAACCCTGATACCAAGGAAGCACAGCAGTTAACATGCTTAAAGTGCAACTGCTACAGCCCCTCTAACAGCAGCACAGCAAGATGCACAGAGAGGTGAAGTGATACAGGTCTTCTTACCTCTGCCTTTGGACCAATGAAAATATCCCCTTCTAAAGCACCAGCCATAACACGAACGTGCTTTGGTCTGCCCACACTGGAACAGAAACAAGAGTATAACTGCTTCTAGAGAGACAGCTCTGATACATCCAACATTTTACTAGCTTTTCTTCCTGTCAGCCCCAGTCAGCACTTTCTAACAGCAGGAACAGAGCCTGAGGGCAGTACCAAGTGTGGACAGACTCAGGTTTGCTCTGTAAACTAATCCCAGAATCAGAAGCGAAGGGAGCAAATTGCAGACATTTCTGAAATAATGGGACATGCGCCAGTTGAGTCTGGCCACACTTTCCCTGATGATTCAGGATTCCAACACTGCCTGGAGTAAACATGGCCAGATTGAGCAGTGGTCTGAGCAGACAGACCACTCAGGTTTGCTCGACCTTACGTAGGTCAGCTGAGACATCTAGAGTCCCACACCCCACCTCACTATACAGACAAGTCTGCATTGCTCTGAATAGCTCCTGATCCAGCAGTCCTTCCAATAAACCTGGCAGAAAACTTTCAGGGAAGAATGGCAAGAATCAAGACTTCAGCCTACATGCCAAAAGGAGAGATCCACACCTCAAGACCCAACTTGGTCTTTTTTGACCCCATGTCTCAAGACTAAAGGATCCTACAGCTTTGGTTGGGGGATGACATAAAACATACTTTATGTTTCTTTTTTTTTTCCCCCAGAAAAATCTCCATGTTTAACAGTGGAGACCTTTTCTCCATAATGCTTCTGTACAGCAGGCAGAAAAAGCTTAACTTCTTTCTCCTGCTATAAAATTGGACCACCCTTCCCCTCTACATATCTAAGAATGAGTAAATGGATTGAGAACTGATCAAGACCAGCAGAGTACTTACTAGTTTGGAAAGCAGTATTTCGGTATTTGATCACCAGCAAAACCTGCTTTAATCACACCTGAACCCTGTAGGAGAAACAAACACATGAGCTTATCATTCATTCAGAAATCTTCATAAATTTTAACATAACAGCATTGCCAGATCCTCTCCTTTTTACTAGGAATAAAGCTTGGATAATAAATTCTCCAAGCGGGGCTGGGGGTGGGAAGGTGTCAGCAGACCAGCTTAGCCACTAGAGGGGAGTAACCAGCACCTTCCTGGCAGCGAGGCATCATACAAGGCACCAAGTCCCAGGATGTCCTGGAAGTAGGCTGCATGAAACAAGCTGCAGTGGAAACAGGGAAGAGAAATTCAAGCAGGGGATAAGCTAGCTGGCACTAAGGTGGCAGGTCACAGAAACCTGACCAGTAAAGACACTAAACAGGGGGGAACTAAATGGGTCTCGAGTCTGAAAGCAACAAAGACACCAGTCAGACTGCAAAAGGAAAGCCTGGAGGCTGGGAAAGTGGCTGACAGGACAGGGTTTGTTTAAAAGGGACAAAGAAGAACTTGAGATCAGGCATGGCAGTCAGAAAGGAGCAAACCCAGAAGCCTTCTGCACCACACAAAGCAGTGCAGGCTGTGGGCACGGAGTGTTAAAGCAGCTGCAGGGAGGCCCTGGCAGAGACTCAGCACCGAGAATTCGGCACCACTGCTCCCGTCCCTGCTGGCAGCACCCATGCACATCCCAGAGACCAACTGCCAGCCTGGGGCCAGGCTGAGCCTCACCCACTCCATTTCCCATCCGTGCACAACAATCTCACAGCAACAAGGAGCCTGCAGGAACACGCAAGTTTAGGTACGGAGCAGATTTCCATGGATAAGGCATTTCACTGCTAATCCCAGAGTACCACAGGAGCAAGCTCTTCTGTTCAATTTTTCTTGAAAGAAGAGTGTACTGGGAGCAATGCAGGTGTACTTGCACTGAAACCAGTGACAGAAGAAGTGCCCATTCACTCTCAAGGGCCCTGCAGCAGAACTGCTCTGTTTCTGAGGATATTCTCAACGTGTTTTAAAACAAACAGCAATGCATTTCCTCAACTGCTTCCCCCTTCCCACCTCTTCCGCGTGGGTCAATATCACTCACACGCATGGAGCTGTGCAGCTAAGCTCTGGCTGCAGGGGATGCTGAAAGCCCCAGCCATCTGCTTCATGGTGAGAGGAGTCAGCAGCCAGTACAGGCTCAGCAGAAAGGAACGTGGGGCAGCCAGCCACTGCAGTACACAGTCCAGGGCCTAATTCTCAAGCTCCTTTTGTCAGCTGGTTCAGGTGAGGCGCCCGGCTTTGCAGAGAGCAGGCATATCCTGCCACCAGAGCACAGGTGCTCCTGCCTAAAGACAGCCAGAATCAGGTTTGCAGAGATGTATCTGCAAAAAGGAATACCAGGAAAACTGGCAACTGCACATGGCTGGTTATGAAAGATGTAACAGGGATGCAGTGCTGGGACCCCAAGCTGGCGCCAGCCACAGCTCCCAGCATCAGCTTTAACAGGCACAGGTGAAACAAAGAGCACTGGCCATGGTAAGAAGCCGACCCCCCAGGCAGACACTGCCTTCCAACCAGTCACCTCAAAGCAGAGCCAGGAACAAGACAAACAATATTGTGATTTTTCCATGTCACAGCTTATAAATAACATCATGCCTCGGAAATAATATCATCATAATATCATCATGATATCATCACATAACTGTGTCAAGTCTCACAGCTAAAAAAATAAAAATAATGAATCAAATGCAATAAGATAGGCACTATCAGAATATTGTGCTCATTGAATATTTTATTCCAGCTACTGCTTGATCTTACAGCCAGCACAAGTCTGCTGCTGGGAAGTGGTTTCAGGAGAACAATGATGCTCCTGTTTTAATGCAGAGAGCAAAACTTCCTTATAATAGGCCAAAAATTACTCTGCACATCCTGGTGAGCTTCCCAGCAAGTTATGCATTTTAAAATTTAAGTACTGAAGTTCAAAGAAACTGAGTATGTCAGGTGCTCCAAACTCCTTCCTGGAGTTGGAGATGAAGGCTGCTCTGAGAAGTGATGGGAGGGGATCTGAGCACTGTTGTGCCTCCCAATGCCTGCAGGCAAACCGAGCGCAGATGTTTTCTATCTCTGCACTACAAAGACCCAACAGCATTTTCTGGCACAGCAGGCTGGGGCCCGGCTTGTTCACCACCTCAGTCCCCCCAGCCCATCCTCCCTTACACACACATACACGAGACAGGAGGGCGCTCAGCCTCAAGAAGCCGCCTGCAGCTCCCCAACATGCAGCCCTGCTGATGTAACAGAAGCAGCAGCACCTTTCTGAGCAGCTCCAATTCCTATCTTGCCTGAACTCCCAAGTATAAAAATGCAATGTCACCGCAAGGCTCGGCCTGCAAGCATTAAGGGCAGATCTCATAACCATTTAATTCTGCAGTTCATTCATGGAGAGGAAGGTTCATTTACAAAGGATGCAAGCAAAGCTTTTGTAAGACCAGCTGTTAAATTAAAAAAGATGCAGTCAGTCTGCAGCAGCACGAGCCCTTCTTCAGGCCTGAAGCGGGGAGGGGGAGCAATCTTAGCAATACTTAGTTGTGCTAAGTAACTAAGTCAGGATGAAATGAGACGGACTGCTATTATGTGACCCTACCACAATAAACTCATCCTCACAGTGCCTGGAAGCAACTTCAGCAGCTAGCTGGTAATAGCACCACAGCAGGTCAGCATTACTTCCCTCATTTCTATCAACAATCAGCCCGAGTTCTTCCTTTAAGTTTCCAACAATCTCCCTGCTGTGATTCCAGAAGAAGAAACAAAACTAAAGCTGCCTCAGAGAGCTCAAGTTGTAGAGAAGAATTGGATCAATGATAAAGAGATCAACTGACTTCACCCGAAAAGATCTACAAATCATACAGCTCACAACAAATGTAAGAGAATCATACAGTGTTTTAGCTTGAAAGTGACACTATCAGCTCATTCCCTCTCTGACAGACAGGGTTGCCACCCACCAGACCAGGGTCCCCAGGCCCCATCCAACCTGTCCCTAAACAACTCCAGGGATAGGACAGCCACAGCTTCTTTGGGCAGCCTGCGCCAGTGCCTCAGTTCCCTCTGAGTAAAGAATTTCCTCCTGGCATCTAACCCAAATCTCCTCTCTTTTAGTTTAGTCATTCACACTTGTCCCGTCACTATCAGCCCACATAAAAAGTTCGTCTCCCTCCTGTTTGTAAGCTCCCCTTAAGTACTAAAAGGCCACAGCGAGGTCACCCTGGAGCCTTTCTTTATAACAGAGGTGCTCCATCCCTCTGAGCATCTTTGTGGCCCTCCTCTGGACCCACGCCAACAGCTCCACATCCTTACTGTACTGGAGGCCCCAGACCCGGCTGCAGATGGGGCCTCATGAGGGCAGAGCAGAGAACAATCACCACAGAATTCCATAGTAAGGAAGGTGATGAAGGAAGCACAAACACCAGCCCTTTTACACAGCAGAATGTGAATCAGCACCAATGGGGTCAGAAGGGAGGAGCGGCAGCTTGTGGCTCGCCGTGGTGGAGGAGGCTCCTGGGGATGTTCCACCCCTTCCCTCCTCCCACTTCTTCTGTCACCCTTCCTCCCAGAGGCTGCTACAGGGCTGCTCACGAAGGGCCCCAGGACCCCACATAACTGCTCTCATCCACCTCAACCCTGCAGGCCTGCCCCGCGCTGAGGCAGCACGCTGTTAGCGGCGGCAGCCATCTGCACCACCACACCCTGCTGTCAGACCAGTGCTGACGCAACCCGCCCTGGGAGCGGCTCCTCCGGGCGCGCCACCGGCTCGGGCCGGGGCCTGCGAGGCCGCGAAGCACTGCGCGGTCACTGCGAGGAGAGCCGAGCACGCCCGGAGCATGCCGGGAGTCAGGTCAAGCGGGGCCCGCTGCGCGCCGGGAAGCAGCGCCATTGTCCCCCGGGCACAAAGCGGGGCAGCGGAGCCAGGATGCAGCCGCTGTTGACGGACGGCTCTTCCAGCCAATGGGCGCAGGTGTTCCCCGCAAGGGCGTGCCGGGAGGGGCCCCGCTCCGGCAGGTAGTGGCGGGACATCCCGCTGACTGACAGCCGCCCCAGCCAATGGGGGCGCGCCGCCCTTCACAGCCCGCACACACCCCGGCGGCGGCGGGGGCCGCTCCCCATCAGTGAGGGGCAGCGACCCTCTGGGGGTGACAGGCGGCCGTCCCAGCCAATCGCAGGCTGCTTAACTGTGCTGGCCCCACCCCGCCCAAGGAGGCAGCGCACGGCGCTGGGCGAAGGCCTAAGGCGGCGGCCAAGCCGGGTGGGGGGGGGCGGCGGGCGGGGCGCGGCCACCCCCGATGACAAAGGGATCGCGGTCGGCTGGCCCCCCCGCCCTTCCCCGCACTGGGACTCGCGACCACCCACACTCACGTTGTCTATCACGACGGGCTGGTTCGCTATCACGTCGTAGGACTCCATGGCGAGGACCCGCCGCAGTCACCCGTCAGGGAGCAACAGCCCAACCGGCGGCGGCGCATGCGCAAAAGGGCGGCGCGAAGCCAGCTGGGTGATGTATTCCTGCGGCCGCGGTGCGCGCTGGGAAGTGCAGTCCCGGGCCAGAGGCGGGGAGCGGGGCATGCCGGGAAGTGTAGTGCGGCGCAAACGTAAACACGGCGCAGGCGGAAGCGGCGTGACGTCAGTGCGTGGCGGCCCTGTGTCCTCCCGCCAGGAAGCGCGGCGTGCTGGGGGCGGGGCTTGGGCCTGGCTTCACCGTTTCTCATTTTACCAACGGGGATGGGTCCGAGGGCCGTCCTTGCCCGCTTGTCAGCTACACGTTTGTACGCGACTGCAGGACGCCCCGTGCAGCCCCGTGGCTCTGTCGGGCTCCCTCACAGCCCCGCACCCCTTCACGTCCCTCGCGGTTCCCCCGCGGCCCCCCTCCCCTTGAAGCACTGCCACTTCTCCACCGCAAGGGGGCGCGCTCACAGCGCGGCGCGGAGGCGGGGGTAGAGAGGCGCGGCCGCCTTACGCGCCGCGCTCTGCTATTGGCGGAGCCGCGCTGCTCATCACCGTCGCCCGGGCGGCGGGGCCCGCCCCCTTCCTCCCGCAGCGCCGCTTGGGCCGGGCCGGACCGGGAGAGGAGCGGGCCGGGAGCTGCGGCCGCCGGGCCATGGAGGGCACGCGGCCTGGCGGGGCTGCACCCGCGGGCGGGGCGGGCTCCGGCACGGGCTCCGGCTCCTTCCCGTCCCTCTTTCCGCCGGGCCTGCACGGGATCTACGGCGAGTGTCGCCGCCTGTACCCCGAGCAGCCCAACCCGCTGCAGGTCACCGCCATCCTCAAGTACTGGTGAGGCAGCCTGGGGCTGGCGGAGCGGCAGGGCCCGGGGCGTTGTGTGGGGTTGGGAGATCTTCGTGTGCAGATCTGAAGTCTCTTGTGGGGCTCGGGGGCCCTTGCGTGGGGCTGGTGGGGCCTTCCGAGGAGCCGGGGGCCTCGCGTAGGGCTGAAGGGAGCGGTGGGGCTTGAGGAGTGTTGGGGAAAACGGCGGAGTCGTGAGGAACCGTTGGGGCCGAGGGCCGTATGTGGAGTTGTGGGGAAGCGTTGGGCCCGGAGGGGTCACGGGCAAAGAGTATTGGAGCTGAGGGCTCCGTGTGGGGTTTCAGGGGGGTTGGGGGGAGTGGACGTTGCGTGGTGTCAGAGAGAGGCGCTGGGGCAGCAGAGGGTAGGAAGGTGAGGAGGCGGGGCGTTGGGTGCTGAATTTGGGAGGAGATGCGATAGGAAGGTTTGTGCGGGCCTGGGGGTGTGATGGAATTGAGGGTGCGAGGGGCAGCGTGCTGGGTGCAGGGAGGGCTGTGCTGGAGAGCTGAGATTCGGGGAAGGAACTGGAGGTGGTCGAGGTATTTCTGGGGTGGTGCGGTGCTTCTCTGAATGGGAATGGAACGAGGTAGTGGGAGAAGGGAGCGTGTTTCCTCATCTCGGCAGTTCATGGGGGGGATGGGGTTTTTTCTCCTGGGCAGAAGGCTCAAACTGTGTCTGCTGACCTGGAGCTCGAGGTGTGTGTATGGCCCAATGCGTGCTGTGTGTGCGCCTGCAAACCTGAGAAACAGATGCAGCTTCTCTTGGCTGTGCGTTGCCACGTGTTACCGCAGACTGAGAATCTGTTGTTTCTTCCCATCCCCGCTGACACAGTGTCTGACACAGTAACAGCAGTTGTTTATGTGAGAGAGTGGCATGAAGGAACTACTTGGATGTTTAGCTAGATAAGTGTCTAGTATCTAGTCCTGTGGGAAGTTGTTCCTTTTGATTTTGTCCTCATTCTCTGCTCAGCCCTCTCTTCAGGATCGGAGGAGCACGATCAGGTGATCTGATGTCTGAGTGTCTGTCTGGTGAACCATTGACTGGTTGCCAGTCCAGCACTTTGAAAAAAGTTTAGTTAAAGCTCAACTTGTACACTTACAGTTCATTTTAACCCGTGTGTCTTATTTGGCTGAATCCTGAGCAGCAGAATAATATCCTTTCTGTGCTCTGCTCCGACAGCTGCATTGTTGCTGTTGTTTTTTGAAGATGTGCTTTTAATGAGCTTCAAGCAAGAAATATATATTGGTCCATGTTGCTTAGAGCATTTTTAGTTAATCACTTGAACTGGCAGAGTGAGCTGAGGTGATTTGTTAGTCATCTGCATTGGTCAATGCTGCAGCACTGCAGTGAGGGTCTGATCAGTTTTTTTACACCTGTTTCTACTCTGGGATGGGCAAGCTCAGTGAGTTTCCAACCACTGTGGTTTGAGAGTCAGTGCTTGCTTTTCTGTCACTGTCTTGGAGCAGTACTGGCCAGTGTGATGTCAGATTGGTGTGAGACAGAGAGAGATGGAGGTTTGTGATAGTGACCCAGCCTGTTTGTTCCTCTCCCTTGGCCAGCCCAGGGGGCAAAACCTGGCGTTTGATGTTCATGGAGCCTGGGAAAAGGGCTTCTGCTGCAGCTTGATCTCCTTTGCCAGAGCTGGAGATAAGGGCTGGTCTAGATGAAAAGAAACTGCTGAGCAAAGTTCTGTGCCTTGAGATAAATATTGTAACGCTAATCAGCTTTATAATTATAGCTATTGGTTTCTCTATTGTTAGCAGCAATTATTTCTGTTCAGGTAGCTGAAGCTGTGTTGTTGGCATGCACAGTAGATCCTTCCTTTGTACAGCTGGCGAACCTTCAGGATCACACACCCATGGAATGAGGGGGCTCAGCTGTGTGGGATTTTTCATAGAACTAGCCTTTTTTTTTTAACATGATTTCCAGATCTTTGGAGAAAATTCCTGATTGTCATTGAAACTTCTTGCACGAGCTCCTGGCTGTATGTATTTACCAGGAACGACCCCACGTAAAGCGTTCAGGGGAAATGAACTGGAATTTTTTATTTTTTTATTTTTTCTCTTTTGGAGCTCTTTCCTCTGCCTGCTTTGGGTTTCTCCTGGACAAACACTTCAGCAACTCCTAACAGCATCCAGAGAAAGCTCTGTATGCAGATGCAAATACCACTTTTCCCCTGAGGCTGCCCTTCTTTCTCCTGAATGAGCACAATGAATGGAGAATGCAACAAATTTGTACCATACCTGCAGCTTTGAAGTTGGGTTCTCTTTAATAAATTCCTCCAACGCTTCCAGCTCTTTGTGTGAACCCGCATACTGATATGCAGATGTGAGATGAGGTGAAGCCCTGCAGGAGCACTGTGGGCGGCAGGGCAGGACGTACCTGGGCAGGAGTTGTTGGTGCAGCAGCAAAACCTGCCCCCAAATGGGGTAAGCTTGTGCCACAGCCCTTGTGGGGCTCTTCTGCCAGGGGTGAGATGCTGGCTGTGCTGTGGGGAGGGGGCTGCCTGAAGCCAGTGCAGGGTGCTCCTGTGCTTGTATGTGTGCTGTGCCATGAAGGACAGTTTAAGGGTTTGCCCGGTGTGTTGTCAGTGTCAGAACATGTGTGTCAGCTCCCATCTGACTCATTTGACATCTGAGGTGTTACTAAGCCCAATTTAGGAGCAGGTTTTGTGGGAGAGGGGAATGCTTGTTGCTTAGCAGGTGGGGACGTTTTCCCTTTGTTTGGGAATCCTGTGTGTCAGCTCTGAGGAGTTGCTCATGTTTTGCACTCTGTTGACTGCTGCATTGAGCACTCTTGCTCTGAAGCCTTCCTTGCATGTAGCTTTGTTTGAGCACCTGTGTGGGTCTCTCCTCAAGGGATCTGCATGCTTGTGTTGCTTGTTTCCCTCAGAAGAATGGGGCCATGTGCCTCTGCCCAGCTTGAGAACAAGATTTTAGAACCAGGCACGGGGGGAAATCAACACTTGCAGTTTCCCAGGTAGGTTTCCTTGCAAGCACTGGGCTAGGAAGATGGCCTGGACCCCATTAGCACTTCATGGGGTGCAGGGGCTCTGAAATGTGTGTGAAGATGGACCCCAACTTCATGGATGCCATGTTTCATGGGTACTGTGGCTGTGTCCAGGCTGGGATTCCTTTGGTCTTAGTCCCATTGCTCTGGGCAAAATGCTCACTGCTTCAACCCATGCTTCTCATGGCTGCATCACCAGCCAGTCCCAGGATGCCAGAGCTAGCCTGGTGTGACTTGCAAGGAAGGGAATTGTGAGGGGCTGTCGTGCTCTGTGCCCCTTCTGTCCAAAATCAGGAGAATTGCAATTAGTGCTTTGCTGTTTGATCACCCTAGAACTCCCTTGCAGGGCAGGGTGCCTGCGTCCAGATGAGGGCAGAAGCACTTCCAGGGTCCTGGAGCGTGCTGCTGTGACTATTTCTTCCCAAGCCTGCTGTTATTTGATATAAGGCAGTAGTACTTTAATCATGGCAGCAAACTGAGGTGTTTGTATACTTTTCATGCAGTGGTTCTGGTGCGCAGAATGAAATGCAAACCTCCAGGGCAACAGAGGGAAGTTTAGGTATGCCTTGAAACCTGCAAATGGCAGCGCTGGGATCTGTGCAGGTGCTGCAGTTGGTGGTAATTAAGCTAACAGGTAGTGGTGTTCTTAGTTTAGATTTTCTCATTTTGAGCAGTTGGGAGTGTTTTACTCAAGGAGAATTGGGTGCAGAATGCAGTTTTGCTTCTCTCCTGTTCCATGGCTGCGGGGCACTGAGCAAGTTGAGCACTGGGCTTTGCTGGCATGGCCACCACGTCCCCATGTCCCTGGTGGCTGCCAGGCTCTGCTGGTGGCCGTGTCACCAGCCTTGTGCTGCAGCAGAGCCTGTGCTCACCTTTTGCTCCTTGATTTACGCAGCTCACACACTATACAGGTGCTGGTACTGTCTCTAAATCAGTGTTTTCTCTGCTCTTTTAACTGCCGTGTCTGCATTCAGAGCTATGGATTACTTTCTTCAGAACTTAGGTGTTTCAAATTGTGCTTTGAGGAGTAGCGTGTTGTTTTTCAGTGAGGAATGTACCTCTGGCCTGAATTAAGAGCTTTCAGTGTACATACAGCTATTGCTCTTTTACTGCTATAATTTTGTGATTGTTTTGAGGAGGTTTTGCTATGATTTTCCAGAGGCTTTCATGCTTTAATGT